GTAGAGAACAACGTCTGCGTTCAGGACACCATAGGAGAGCTACATTGTCGCTATATCGAGAGACTTCAATGTTATGCTCATTCCTATTCGGTGTGCATCTCCCTTGGATTTCTGCTTTCAATTTCGTCTCTGTGATGTCCGGTCCTCTTAGAGATGTCACAATCTGGTTTATCTCTGTTGGCATTGCTTAATTCCTCGCAGATTGACAAGAATGCTAGCAATTCTTCTCGACACCTAGTTTGAGAGTCCACATGCTGACAGAAAGCATAAGTATAAAGGCATACCTGACAGCTGCAACCCCTGCAGCAGCCGCTGCAGCTGCAACTCCAGGGCTTGGATTTTCTTCATCATCACTATCATCACTATCCTCCACTCTCATACGTGCATGTGGAGACGAGGAAGTTGGGCCTGAAGGCATGTCCTCTTCATCACTGCGGTGAGCAAAAAACAGTCAATTGTGCCACATGACGTCATATATCAGAATGGGCATGCAAGCCATCCATGAGGAACAACAGTGCATCGTCACTAGATCTTGCACCATGCACATTTTAGCAAGGAACAATGTCAATGGAGGGAAAGCTGGCACTACGAAAGAGGAGAAAATGTCATGAGCAAGGGCATGGAGCATTCCACCTTAGACCAGGGCCTTGGATTTGGCATAGACTACACGGCAATTGTTGCATCTGTATTCAGCCCTCCGCGATATACTACATCAAATACACATTCTACAGCTCCATCTCAGAGATACTTGAAGCAAATTGTATTCAAAAACTGTTTCAGTACATGCATTCCTTTCTCCCTTCAAAACCCGTTTCAGTACATTACTTCCTTTCTCACTTCTCCTTGGAGAAGCTTTTCCCCTGTGCATCGCAGAGCGTAGTACAAAATCTCTTTCAATACATTCTTTCCTTTCTCTTATAAAAAAAAAAAAAAAAAAAAAAAAAGAGCCTTACGGTTCCGGCTCCCTTCCATTATGCGGAGCATGGCATGCACGTTATACAAGTGTTACGATCACCTCGTACTGATAAGAAGTCGAGAGAACAATTTGAAATGAGAATCCATAAACACTTGATTGTCATACAGAGCAAAAAAAACAATTACGTGAAAATTTGCATTATTTGAAACTCCCTGGCCTGCAATGGAAGGTAACTTCTTATGAAACCCGTTTGGAAAAGCACAGCAAGTAGGGTTTAGGGTTTAAGCAGCAAAAGACCGTACATGGACAGACTAACTTAGGCAGCGGTGAGAGGTGGTACATTTTTCCTGTGGGAAGAAACCAATGCCGCCTACTCCGACGTCCCGACCTTAAGGGGACATGGGCGAGCTTCGACATGTACTGTTCTTGACTTGCCGGTGTAATGGGAGGCGACTTTTATCCTTTATCATTTCTACTTCAACATACTTTTCCACCGTGGATCTCAGAGTATAAAACATTACCCCTAGCATGTTGAAGAAAGCCATCTACATGCGAGCAGCTAGGAGACAAATGAAGGAAAAAGAACGGAGCGTTAAGCTGCTGACAACATGAGGTGCCACGTCATCACCTCTCCTATGAGCCGCCATCTTCTGCACATCCTATCCCTAGATACCCGGTATCTGTCCCTGCTGAACCCAGATCTATCAGTCAGGACCTCAGACCACAATGCTGTGGCTTCCCCCCCCCTCCCTTTTACACCAACAGAAAATCCAAATCCTTGCAGCGAAATCCATATAAGAACCAATTCTGCAATGAGAAATTCACACCGAAATGGTAGGCAACGAGGACTTCAGTATTGAACCATGTAAACACAAGCTGTCATTTTCTTGAAAGTTGACACTCACATTTGCCTTGCAAATAAATTTATTATTATTATTATTATTATCACTTTGGATCTCAATCCAGGGGCGAGGACGAGGACATACAGGACTGGCTTTAGCTCAGAGCAGCGCACTGTGATTCACCCGAACAGAACGCCCAGCCATCATGCGCACAATTGGAACAACTTTCTGTCTGGATGCAACCATAATAATGACCAGGCACACTATTTGGGTGAACACGGTCAGGATTTCGGAGTGGAAAACAGATTCCATTGACAGGATATATAGCCTAAGGGACGATTGCTGCGTCCTTTTGTTACAATTCACCAGCTTCACGGAAGCTTCTCTTCTTCTGGGCCCATTGTATACCCAAAAAACAGACGATGTACTCGAATATTGCACATTCAACACACAGAGTTCAAGTTGGCGTACCTGTCGTGTTCATCAATACGAAGTGTGCGCATCACACCTTCTGCTGCTTCCTCGAAGAATACATCCTGAAAATAAGGAGAAATACATTGTCAGTTTTGAAGACAAAAAAACGGCAGAGAAAAGCAAAAACTGACACCTGTTCCTTCCAAGCGACTCCAAAGGTGCCCGCCAGTTATTCCATCCAAGCGATGAAAATTCTCAACCCAATCAAGAACAGCACTGTGCCATCTTGTGCACCATCGAACCCGATGCTTGTTGACCACCACCACCATACCTTTGAACCCTCAAGGTTGAGCTCCATGCAATGTTGGATTTCATAGCACAGTTGTGGCTCTACAGCAGTCATGTTTTCCTCTTCAGTCTCAGACAGTTTTGCTCTCACATAAGCTACCAAGATGCACTTTTCCGCCAGTAAAAGACCTTCACAATTGTGGGGGCATGTACGCAAAAGACGCTTCTATGGTGTTCATGCAGTTAAACATCGAAGCACATTTTCAGTGATGAAACCAACCATCCACAATAACAGTTTACATGGCCTTGCAGGGATCACATTGTCACTGGTCCGTCAGACAGGAAAACCAGAACTTTCTGGCGATGCAAACAATCAATGTCATTGACAGAATTGGTCCCACTCTCGACCTCCTTCTGCTAAACTTTCTGGCTGTGCTGCGCACAACCACAGACTGGACTACGATTACCAATTCGAGGACTCACATTGTACGTGACAACCGCTGCCAATCCAAGATGAGTGACGACCTGGTCCACAGGAATTTGTTATGCTGGCCACTCATCTCCAACTGGCAGCAGTCGTCACATACACAATGGGAACCACGGATTGCTTGCCACGCCACTCACCTCCAAATGGCAACAGTTGGCACCTGTTCGCAAACCTCCGACCACCCTCAAATTAACAAGTCATAGTCAAGTTCAGTACCGTCGAAGGAACTGCCTTCAAAACATTTCCAACGTCCTTCCAATATATCCGTGCTCAGTTCCCATCACAATATGAACCAATTACAGGAGTTACTGACCACAAAACGGCAACGGCTGAATACCTGCAAGGCCCAGTTCTAGTTCTGGTTGAGAATAATAGTTTGCTTTTCCCTTCCGTTGGTTTTCTTTCGCATGATATTTTCGGCACACGTGTGGCATTTGGACCCATGAGCCAGCACTTAGGGGACTGGTGTCATATTGCCCTGTCTCTTATACACATCTAGATGTGTATAAGAGACAGGTCCAAAGCAGCATCCAGATCGGGTCCCGTCTTGGGAGATGAAAAGGACCATGCTTTTCAGCAGATCCGTGGCTAAGCGTACCTCAATATGTCGCTGATATGAAGTAAGTGCCTGCACAAGCACAATGTATAAGAGAGTGTGGGAAGTGGGGACGGTTGGACAATACACAGAGAGAGACATGCACATCCCACAGCACAAATGGGATGAAGTTTGTCAGGTTCCCAAAATACCTCGTAATGCCAGATTCATCTTCTCATCTGCATCTCCACAACTGGACTTTTACCACCGACTCCACCCACACATACAGACCACCCCTGCACTTAACACCAGACTTAAATGACATCAATAGAACACCATTGTCTCAACAAATTTGGCACCACCTTCAAAGCTAACAACAGTCCAACGTCAAATACGACTTGAGAACCTCGTGCTACAAACCTATCTCCGCAGTGCTGACCCACTTAGACAATGCCCCATCAATTGGACAGTGTCTTTCACACTTTCACTCCGATGGAGTAAGTACCAGATAGTGTGAGAGAACTGAAGGGTTCGAGGGGAGCTGGACTCGCATAACAAGGACATTGAACGGTTGCCCGTTAGTTAAACCGTTATGTCAGACTTGCACAGGCAGGGCCAGAGAGGCTCATTCGCCTTCCTAGCTAGACAAATACTTTGTGAGCCATTTCGCTTTTACAACACAATGGACTCCAAGCCAAGAAAAAACATCATATACATCAGCACATTAAATTCGCAATCTCGATAAATCAGCACACCAAATTTGCGCTATTAATGCACAGCACATCAAACTTGCAATCTTTGCTTCCCATCCAGGCTCGAGTTAAACTCGTTCACCCAATAGGCCCATAGCAAGCATGGAAAGCTGGAAACCCATAACAAACAAGACTTCTTCAACCTATCAATTGGGATGTTGCCCTCTTCCCATGAACAAGGTCCTTGATGGCATATAACATTTACTGTGACACGCTCCCTTTTAACTCTTAATCCCATCGCAATGACAAAATCTCTTCCCCTCCAATACACAGCGGGGACAAAATACATTTGTCTGCTCACTCGTAAGGTGAGACATTGATTTCCAATCGTTTGAAACCAAATTTTGAGTACACATCTTGTGAAGCCAATTTTCAAGGCATGGTCACGTGCATCATTGATGGAGTAGACAGTTTGACAATTACTCCAAACAAACATTACTCCCAAATGCATTCCACTACCCTCACCACCCACCCCCTTTCCTTTCAATCTTCAATGCTTGTCCTGGACCCCACACTCTGACCATACCCTCTGCCGGTCAACCTCCTCACTCCAGTAACATCCAAATCTCACTAGTTTGGTGATTGTCCGGCTTCAGACTCAATTGAATTCCGGCATCAAAATAATCTCATATAACTCTGTGTGTGTGTGTGTGTGTGTGTGTGTGTGTGTGTGTGTCTGCGTGTGCGTGTGTGCGCATGTGAGAGGGTACAACAGAGAGGTGGATGTCAGATCGTAACTCTGTTATTGATGGCCACCTCTGGACAACGACAACAGAAGGGACAACTGAGCCGAAAACAGGTGGGACACAAACTGCAGCTCAGGCCAACACATAATCCTTTTTCTGGATTGTCATTCGCAGTGCAGGTGCACCTGGTGTCGCAAAAACAAGGGTCAGGTTTGAGCCATGTGACCCACCGAGAAGGGCGCATGCACAGCATAATGCCTACAGTCCTCTTAAACATTCTAGTCTGAGACAGCAGATTTTCTCTTGAAATTTGGCTTTGAAATCTATTTTCCCTTCCTATTTTCCGATATCTGTGTGGGAGGCCCAGGATGTCACCGTCTGAGAAGGAATGGTCTTCCTCTGCCTTTTGATCCACCCGTATAACGTTAGGCACCCGTCCCACATTTTGTGGCGTTATTTCTCACAGTCTGTACCTGATCAGAGGAAAAGTGATGTGCTCCTTGCAACGCAGTGCAGAACGACGAGAAAGCGTGCAAGGCAGTGCACCTCAGTGACCTCACACCTTTATATCAAAACAAAAACCGGCGAGCAGAATATTTCACCATCTCTGAGGGGCACTACTTTGTCATTTTCTTTAACGGCCCAGAAAGAGCAAACAAACATGCAATGCAAAGCACTGACACCACACCATAAACCCTCATTTGGATACTGCATAATGTTCGCAGGCAGCATCACACCAGCTCGCCTCACAATGTGTGGCCTTAACAAAGTACTGGGCTTCTCATAAGAACCTAGATGAAATCAGAAAAACTTACCTCAGCCTCCTCTGCATCATCAGGGTCGAACTCCACTCCATAGCGATAAGGCGCATCACGACTCATGTTACCCCCCATAGGGATGTCAAAGTCCTTGGGTCCAAATTCGTCCTCATCACTATCTCCATGACGGTCTTCCACCGGAGGCCTCCTGAGAGGACACACCAGAGTTACGGTCAGTACATGATGACAGACAACATACCGATGATCACACTATTTTGTCGACCAGTTATCACTTCGTGGTGTGTGAGTGATCGAATTCAAAATTAAATTGATTGATTGCATCAATTCTATGATGAAGGGA